CTCATGGTTATGCAAAATTACATATAAGATGGTGTGAGGGGGAAGATAAAAGAGAGAGAAACGTGTCACAGTAGATTGGGTAGAAAGAGGTGATGGGAGGGGAGGGGAGGGGACAGGGGATAAGAAGGGCAGCACAATACAATAGACACTAGTATGGCCCTATGTATAAACATGGCTGTATAATCAATGTGATCCTGCAATCTGTACACGTGGAAAAATAAGATTATGTACCCCATTTGAATCAAATATATGATATGTCAAGATCATTGTAATGTTTTGAGCAACTAATAATAACTCTTTTTTTAAGAGTGGAAAAGCAGGGGCTGGAGTTGTGGCTCAGCAGTAGAGCGCTCGCCTAGTACATGTGAGGCCCTGGGTTCGATCCTCAGCACCACATAAAAATAAATAAATAAAATAAAAGTATTGGCAACTACAACTAAAAAAATAAATAAATATATTTAAAAAATAGTGGACAAGCAAATGCCAAACTAAAAGGGACATGCAATTCTTCTTATAGGTAGCCAGCTTCACTGTTCATAGATATTTTAACTTGTGTCCTTTCTTCTAGACTGAGTGCAGGGAAGCATTACTAGCACAGTGAATGGTGCATGGAAAGTTATACATTCAGTGTCTTTGAATTAAAGATTGCATGAATTAATTAAATAATGAAAGAAACAAACAGGATCTCATAAACTCCTATGTAAAGTGCTATGATTTTTTTGAGGCAGACTCTATGCATTATAGTATTTCAGCTGAAAATTAGTGAGGCCTGGAGTATAACACATGGGGAAATTTTCATAACAAGTTATGACTTGAACTGGGCTCAAAGAAAGAGCAGCATTTATGTACACAGAATAAAAGTGGCAGCAACTGAAACAAGGCAGAGATGCCCTCTTTCACCACTTCTATTTAACATAGTCCTTGAAACACTGGCCAGAGTAATTAGACAGACCAAAGAAATTAAAGGGATACATATAGGAAAAGAAGAACTTAAAATAGCAAAACCTATTTGCTGATGATATGATTCTATACCTAGAAGACCTAAAAAGCTCCACCAGAAAACTTCTAGAACTAGTAAATGAATTCAGCAAAGTAGCAGGTTATAAAATCAACACCCATAAATCAAAGGCATTTCTGTATATGAGTGACAAATCCTCTGAGAGGGAAATGAGGAAAACTATCCCATTTACAATAGCTTCAAAAAATAAAATAAAATACTTGGGAATCAACTTAACAAAAGAGGTTAAAGATCTAAACAATGAAAACTACAGAAMCCTAAAGAAAGAAATCAAAGAAGACCTTAGAAGATGGAAAGATCTACCTTGCTCTTGGATAGGCAGAATTAATATTATCAAAATGATCATACTTCCAAAAGCACTATACAGATTTAATGCAATTCCAAACAAAATCCCAATGGCATTCCTCATAGAAATAGAAAAAGTAATCATGAAATTCATCTGGAAAAATAAAAGACTTAGAATAGCTAAAGCAATCCTTAGCAGGAAGAGTGAATCAGATGACATCACTATACCAGACCTTAAACTATACTTCAGAGGAATAGTAACAAAAACCATGATATTGGCACCAAAACAGACTGATAGACCAATGGTACAGAATAGAGGACACAGAGACTAACCCACAAAATTACAATTATCTTATATTAGAAAAAGGTGCCAAAAACATGCACTGGAGAAAAGATAGCATCTTCAACAAATGGTACTGGGAAAACTGGAAATCCATATACAACAAAATGAAATTAAACCCCTATCTCTCACCATGCACAAAACACAACTCAAAGTGGATCAAAGACCTAGGAATTCAACCAGAGATTCTCCTTCTAATAGAAGAAAAAGTAGGCCCTAATCTTCATCATGTGGGATTAGGCCCCAACTTCCTTAATAAAACTCCTGTGGTGCAACAATTAAAACCAAGAATCAATAAATGGGATGGACTCAAATTAAAATGTTTCTTCTCAGCAAAAGGAATAATCTGTGAGGTGAATAGAGAGACTACATCTTGGGAGCAAATTTTAACCCCTCACACATCAGATAGAGCACTAATCTCTAGGGTATATAAAGAACTCAAAAAGCTAAACACCAAAACCCCCAAATAACCCAATGAATAAATGGGCCAAGGACATGAACAGACACTTCTCAGAAGAGGATATTTAATCAATGAACAAATATATGAAAAAATGTTCATCATCTCTAGCAATTAGAGAAATGCAAATCAAAACCACTCTAAGATACCATCTCACTCCAGTTAGAATGGCAGCCATTTTGAAGACAAACAACAATAAGTTTTGGTGGGATCTTGGGGGAAAAGGCACACTCATACATTGCTGGTGGGACTGCAAATTGGTGCAGCCARTATGGAAAGTAGTATGGAGATTCCTTGGAAAACTTAGAATGGAACCACCATTTGACCCAGCTATCCCTCTCCTTTGTCTATACCCCAAAGACTTAAAATCAGCATACTACAGGGACACAGCCACATCAATGTTTATAGCAGCACAATTCACAATAGCTAAACTGTGGAACCAACCTAGGTGCCCTTCAGTAGATGAAAGGATAAAAAAAATGTGGCATATATACACAAGGGAATTTTACTCAGCAATAAAAGAGAATAAAATCATGGCATTTGCAAGTAAATGGATGCAGTTGCAGAAGATAATGCTAAGTGAAGTTAGCCAATCCCCAAAAAACAAATGGCGAATGCTTTCTCTGATATAAGGTGACTGATCATAGTGGGGTAGGGAGAGAGGGAGCATGGGAGGTATAGATGAACTCTAGATAGGGTAGAGGGGTGTGAGGGTTAGGGAGGGGGCAGGGGGTTAGCAATGATGGTGGAATGTGATAGACATCATTATCCAAAGTACATGTATAAGGACATGAATTGGTGTGAACATACTTTATATACAGAGATATGAAAAATTGTGATCTATATGTGTAATAGAATTGTGATGCATTCTACTGTCATGTATTTAAAAAATAAAAGCAATTAAAAAAGGTGGGGGGGCAATAAGACTAAATGAAGCCTGAGTAATACTCTTTTCAATCTCACATATGTCCCTAAGTGAGTTTGAAACAATGCTCTGGGATTGTCAGTGGGGAGGTGTGTTATTTAGAAAACTATCATGAAACTTGAGAAATTTTTGTTATAGGGCTAGCAGTAAAAAGAAAGAGGAAGTTGATCAAGAAATGTTCCCTACAACAGAGACATCTCCACTTAAAGGTAATAAAGGACTATGTGGGTAATTAGTGACATCTTGAAAACTGAGAAATCTTGTCCATCTGTACACAACTTGTAGTTGATCAAAATGTTTTTGAGAAAAGTACTTATGGATTGGGGTCTTCGCATAAACTTAAGTACTATTTCTTATTTACTTTTTTAAGACTGTGAATGCTAGAAAGTGAYAAATATGAAACATTTTATGTAAAGGTTAAAACTTATCTTTGACTGTGTGGCTTATCCTGGAAAACAACAGCAGATTCTTCAATAAAATAGAATATTTTAAAGAATATTTATTTTCTGACACTAAGTATTTCTGTGACTACATGGAATTGAATTTCAGACAGAGGAATAAAATGTATTATAAGATATAATCACATAAATTAAGTTTAATTAATTTGATCAAGATTTTATTCTAATTATTTTAAGATGAGAATTTAACATTTATTGTTTGCTTTTACATATTTGGTTAAAAAATTACAGTCTAGATCCAAATAGTTACTTCTTTTATACTTGTGCCACCACACAATTGTGAGAATTCTTGTGACTCAAATGATTAGAATTTTGTTTAATTTTTTTAGCTTCAAGCATTATTCATATTTTAAATTTTAATTTGTTCTCTATGGACCTTTAAATTGACAATAATTATATTCACTTATGGGGTAGAAAATCATGCTATGACTTATGAATATAATGTGAAATAATTATATCAAGCTTTGGTATCATCTTAATTACCTCAAATACCTAACATTTTTATCTGGTGAGAACATCTGGAATACCCTCTTAGCAAGTTTGAAGAGTATAATCCTCTGTTATTAACTGTATTCACCATACTGTGTAATAGTGTTGGCTTTTTTTTTTTTTTTTTTTTTTTTTTTAGTACTGGAAATTTAACCCAGGAGCACTTTACTACTGAGCTACATACCCAGCTCTTTTTGTTTTTTTATTTTTGAGACAGGGTTTCAGTAAGTTACTTAGGGCCTTGCTAAATTGCTGAGGCTTGCCTTGAACTTTCAGTCCTCCTGTCTCAGCCTCCCTGTGAACAACAGTGTTTTACTTAACTTTTCATAGTAGTTAAAAATTAAAAGTTAATATTTTATGATAAATAAATTTCATAAGATAATTTTATCCCTAAAATTAAATAAATTTTTAGACAGGGATGTATATTACAACTGTTACCTTTATGCCCATAGCAGAATGGCATGCTAGTGAATACTTATAAGCTTTTTGGATTATGGTTGATAAGATTGTCTTGAACTTACCTGGCATGCATCCACTCCACCTGCAGGTATTCCAGCACACAGCATTCCAGATAAGACAGCGCCATTGTAATTAGTTGATGCATTACATACATTGCTACTTATTATTGTGACTTGTCCTTGTCGTAGATCTGTGACTGTGCTGCCTGTTTGGTAGAAAAGAAGAAATAAAATGACTCATTGGATATATAAATTAATAACTCTTATTACTAATTAATAAATAAAGTATAAAAAATTAATAACTCTTATTACTAAGAGTCATTACTCTTCTCTCATTATTAAGAGAAAGAACAAATGCACTCAAAACATTATTCCCTGTTTAGCAAGAAAGGCATCTAAGCTCATATATAGGAGTTTCTTTCCAGCAAAGGTTTTCATAGGGAAGGATAACCCCTTTAGCCAGATAAATTTTTCTTTTCTTTTCTTTTTTTTTCTTTTTGCATTAGTTTTGTGATTGAGTGTCCCGTAGTCATTTAGAAAACAAATAAATTTACTATCTTAAAATTGATTGCACTTAAATTATCCACTGATGGACTTTGGAAAATTACATGAAAAGTGAGTAACCTCTAATCTAACATCAAAAGAGAAATCAGTGTGGTCTTAAGCCTAAAGAAGTAATCCATTATATACCAATGCTCCCTCAGAATAGCTTAGTTATATTTTTCCATTACTGGACAAATTTTACCTGTTAGTCCAAATTAATTTGTGCTAAAAGAACACATTGAAATATTTTCTGGGATGACTGACTTTTTATTATATCTTGGCGATACAATCTACAACTGGGTAAAAGCCCAGGGAAAAACTGTTGATGCTACCCTTCCATTCCCTGGCTGATCACTCTTTATTTTTTTCCTATGTTCTATTTTCTCTTTAACTCTGTCCTCGTTTTAATTTATACCTTATTTATTTGACAATCATGTATGAGCAATATTCATGCATACATGGAGTTTCTTACCATGTAGCATAATTCATATCATCCCAGAATACCTTAAAGGGCAGTTGATACTTTAAGGGTTATTAAAGTTTTTAGACAATATCTATTCCAGTCCTTTTATTTTGTTATAGAAAAGCCATTGGAGTTCCACAGACTCTCTGGATTGTTTAAGAACTAATGTTTCTTTATCACTTTCTTTTACATTTCCTTACCACTATGTTTGAGAATTCTGCATAATTCCTATGGGTATAGCTTTTCTATGCTTTACTGAGGAAACTAAGCTAGCCAGAGTTAAGATGTCTAGAATACACAATGGTTCTGTTGGGAGAATCTGTACTCAACATTTCCCTAACTTTAAAAAGTTACATAATAGCAAATGACAAGAGATTTTGTTGTTCAATTGTATTATTTTTCCTGAAACACTTACCGCCATAAGTTATCGATCCCCATCCTGTTACATAGGCAGTAGAACCAGGTATAATGTTATGGGTAGCCTCTGGGAGACAAACACTATGTATATTTCTGGTAAAGGTGATAGCTCTTTCAAGTTGCACTGCTGCAATATCATTTTCATGAGTTGCGGTTTTATAGTTATTATGAAGTAAAATAGTTCTTACTCTTACTTTCAGTATAGGAGATGTTGTAGAAATACCAAAGGTAGCAGTCCATTGTTGAGGATTAGAGTAGCTGAAAAATTGGGAAACCATGCTATTTGAATAAGGAAATTGTGAGTACTTCAAATATTTAGATTTTGAATTTGCCAACAGCTACCATCTAGGAACTATTTGATCAATGTCTCTTTGCTATATATTCTTGCATTGTAAGCTAGTAAATGCTTTTAACTGGCAGAACAAATGGATATTTGCCTAAAGAAACAAAGAAAGCCTTTAGAAAACATGTCTTGAAGTGATGAATACCTGTTGTTCTTCTATTCCAATTAGCATATTCTAATACTTTAATGATATCTAGCATAACACAAATCTCTTTGATCTTTCACTTTTCTGTACCCTTTAATTCAAGCAACTAAGAAATCTGAAGTAATAGCTATTATAGCTTTAACTCATTCCTTTCAATCTTTATTTTCTTCTTTTATTTTGCTTTGAGAAAGACACTCAGTTTAAATAGCAGTGATGATAAGGGACATCCTTGTTTTGTTAATAGATGMATGACTTTTCTGTACTAAGTTTGCTGATTGTTATACTTGTGTGTGTATATACATACATTTATGTATATAGATATATGTGTCTATGTCTACAAATATATTGAGAAAGAGGGGAGGAGAAAAAGGACTAACATAAAAATATAGAAAATTATTATTTTGATCCAAGAATAAGACTTTTTAGGTAAACCCTCAAAACACATTCCATAGGTAAAAAATGAGTGAATTTTATTAAATCAGAATTAAGCAAACCACAAACAAGCTTAAAGTATGGTTACAAAATCCTTAAAAAATATTGGCAATATTTAATATCTAAATTTTTATAGAATATACAAAAAATATGTAAACCAACAATAAATGGATAGTAAAACTATTATAAAATTTGCAAAGTATTAATTGGTAATTTATGTAAAGGGAAGCCCAAATGGCTTCTAGGTATATGAAAAATATTCAAATTTATTAGTAATGAAGAAATAGTAATTAAAAAATGGATATCTTAATATATGTTGATAAGGGTGACAAGAAACAAGAAAATAATGCTGATGTTAGTAAGGAGGGAAATTAGAACTATTTTTGAATTATTAGTGAAGATGTAAATGTTTGGAAAGCATTCTGGTATATTTCTCAGACTCATATGTAATTTTGGGTACATATCTCAGAGAAATCTGTAAAGGTTTATAGAATGACCCCATATGAGTGTTTTGTGTATGTTGTACATGCTCTTTGTGATAGTAGGAAGTTGAAGAAACCTAGTTGGGTGAAGGAACTATGATGTTTGTTTACTGTGGGTTGTTATTGCAGCAGTGGACCAGATGAAAATTACCAGGATTGAGAAAATACAGTAAGAAACAATACAAGAATTATTCACAATGCTCCTTTCATAAATTAAAAGCAAACACATACATAACAACTCTAGATTTTTCAGTTACATGCATATCTGGATAACAAGCAAAATTATGGTTGCTCCTATAGTTGAATAAAAACAACCAATAATAATTTAAGAGTTTTTGGAATTTAGATAGTGGAGTTAACACAAAAAAAGGATTATATGTCTAGGAAGTACTTTTATAAGAAATAGTATATGTGTAAGAGTGAAAATTAGTTAAAGATTCTGAAGAAAAAATATTTAAAAATAAGAAAATCCACATTTTAAAAAAATATTCAACTGCTTTTGCTCAGTGTCCTCAGTAGGGAGATTCAAAAGACACCCTTCCCTTTCTGGGGAGACACCCCTTTCATTCTTTTTCACTCTTTTTCCTCCCTCTGTCTCTCCTTCCCTTCCTTCTAGCAAATAAATAAGAAAATGGTTTTGGAACCAGCTATATTTAGATTTAAATCTTGCTATATCACATACTAGAATTATTGTTTATGGCAAGTTAGTTAATATCTCTGATTCTTAGTTTATGTATAAAATTTGATTGGCAATATTCTCTCGCACAGCTTTAAGTATCAATGAAACAAATGAATATGCTAAACACTGCTTGGCATTCAATGGACACATCTGTGATCTTCAATAATTATAGCTCAACAATCCATTACTAAGTATCTACATTGCATAAAGAACATGTGAGTCTCTGGAAATAAAAAATTTAATAATTATGGCCTCTGTGCTTGAGTACTGCCACACACTAGTGGAGGATACTGAGACAATTATACTATCATAAATCACAAAGACTACTGTAAAAGACAGAGAAGAAATTTTCTGTGTAAATAGAACAGGAGACAAGAGAGTCCAGAGAAATCTTCATAGAAAAGGTGACAATTCAGTAATCTTCTCTAATAGGGACTCATCACTTCTATGTCCTTTTGTAAGGCTAGTTATACTCCAAACAAATCCTCACTGGTGTTTCTCAAGTGACAATGAAGTCTTTAGGGAGGGGAMCAATACATGGTTCTTGTCATTTATAGCTCTAGTGATTACATCAAGGTAGTAAACAGAAAGATTTTTGGTTGCAAAATTCAAAGATTTTCTCTGAATGTTTTTGATAATCATTGATGATATTTATAATTGTGGCTTTCAATATAGTGATATCCTTTACTTAACTTTTGATAGGTCTGAATAGGGCTTAGAATCTAGTTCAGTTCCAACCTGCTAATTCCATGCATTTGTACATTAGGGTGTGATTGAAATGAACTAGTGACATTCTTTTRCTTTGGCCTTTCAGGTGGCAATGATGATTTAATGTTTTTTAGAATTTTGTTTCTTGTGTTATCTGGGATACAGCTAAATGAATTTGCCAATTTAAATCAGAAATTGTGTAATGTTGGAAGTATTATATAAAATAAATTTAGAATTTATTTGCCATCTGTAGAGCTACAAGATAGCATAAGAAAAGTGTAGAATAATTTGGGCTTTCCCAAAACTTTTGTTTAGATTGTACCCTAATCTTGTTAACTTTTATTTCATCTTGGTTTAATGAACACTTTATGAAAAAAAGGTGCTGTATTAAAAGATAGTGCCCTCAAATCTGAATAATGCTTCTTAGAAATTGTGAAAATCTCACAGAATTCAAATAGGATGAAATAGAGATTTTAAAAGGTTTTAATATTTCAGGAAACAAACAGCAGGGTGAGCAGTGGTCATAGGTGGGGAAACACAGACCAAGTCCAGAAGAGATGAAACATGGCTGTTATACTGACGCTGAAATCACATACTTTGAGAAATAATTTTGGATTAATTTGACATTGAAGGCTTTGGATATGTAGTAAATATGTAGATTTGAGACAGTGACAAGTCATTGAAAAAAGCTGGTAAGATAATAGATATGGTCAGGGGCACACTTGAGTTCACCATCACTTTCTGGTGATCTTTCTGTATTTAAATGCTGTGATTTAGGATATCTTGGTGATACGGTAGGCCTGAAACTAGCAAGTTTTTGTAATGCCAAAGTTTAAAACCTTTCAGTATTAGCAGTGTAACCTTTTTAATATCAACAGGATAATTTTATACAACTTATTTTCCATTGGAAGCTCATTGCCTTAGTATAAGTAATAAATAGTCTTTAGTCACCTCAATTAAGAATTCTTGTAAGGTGTCTTAAATTTATTTTACTTATACTACTTATACTTATTTATAAATGATAATAATTTTTTGTGTGTATGTATTCTCCTTCAAACATTAGAATGAAGTTCCATGAAGGCAAGGGTAGTATTTCATTTATACTTGTGCGTATATAACATATAATATTAGGCTTGTCATAAATATCCATATATTTTGACGAACAAATTAATGGCATCTAGCAGTCTCTAGGTCTACCCTCAGTATACTGATAAGCTTCCATGATGTAATGTACAAATCTTCCTCCACAAATATTTAATAGTTATAGTAACATATTTAATCCTACCAACAACACTAAGATATACATAATAGTATTGTCCATAATTTTTTAAAAATGTGATACATAGGGTTGTTTAGTAAATTTTCTAAGTTTTCATAGCTAGAATTTAAATTAAACATTCTGATATGTTAATCTTTGTTCTTTTCAATGATGGGTACACTATTATCTAAAACTGAGAACTATAGTAAACTAGTAAGCTAAATAAGAAAAAGTATTTTGGCTTTAATAAACAGGAAGAAAAAACTCACTAATATTCTTTACATTTTTTGTTCTGGATTTATCCAATCATGATTGGTCCTGAGGGTAATGGGTGGAGTCTTCATGCAACTGTCTACCTTAATTGTTCCCAGAGCGGCTGAGAGAGGTGCCCTTACCTTCTGAAGCAGTGAGCTGCTGACAGGATCCATGTGTTACTGATCAGGGTGCCTCCACAGTGGTGGACATTATTGAGTTGAAGACTGACTTGCCATGGCCAGTCACCTTCCTCAGCTAGTGTACCTCCAATGATTCTTTCTTCAGACAGTGTTATTAGGTCTGGCCGGGCCCCACATTCTAAGAACAAAGGTTATTAATGAGCTGGGAAGAACATAGTACATTTACATTTGGGATTTTGCTGCAGAGCTTTTCCATTACTTATGACTTTGTCTTTTATGGATTTCTCCCCAGGATATGCTAGATTTTCAAAAAGCAGGATCAACATGCTATTGTCTTTAGAGTACATGTATGACTATTCTTGCCTATTGATTACATTCTAGAGAACATTTCTGAACTTAATTGACATTGGGTTTCAAATTCTGGAGCAACTTCAAAATTGTCTAGAATGCTTCATGAATGGTAAGGGTTAGGATTGGTCAGTGATGGATATGACAGCTTAGGATAAAACTCCTGGGAAATTCCCTTCTTCTTCATAAATTGCTATGCATAGTGTGGTTTTCAGACCTGTAGCATGAATATCCCCTAGGAACTTGTTAGAAATACTGACTTCCAAATCCACATCAGGGAACAATTCAGAAGGTACCTATTGATGAGAGATACACATTTAAGTTGGAAGAAAACTGACTCATCAAGCAGCTTTCTTAGTGGTATTGCAGTTTTATCATTGGAGGTTGCAGTACATCTCCAGACCTCATGTATAACTGTATGTACCCTTGAAAGGGCACATGCTGTAGGGCCACAGAATAGGCCTTAGGGTGAGTGAACATTTCTAGTATGTAGTATACAGGTTTATTTAAATGTCTTAAAAAGCCCTCAAATGCTCTCATTGCCAGAGCTGAAATGGGCTGGGGTAGGCTATTCACAGAATCCCTCTCAATTTCTGTGCTTTGTTTTCTCTTATTAATCTATTACCAAGCAATTAGAGATAAACCGACACCTATTTCTATATTGCTAGACTGGCTGTTAAGTAGTACCCTGCTTCAATAGGTATTTTTTTCTTGCAAATTTCCCAAATAGAGGACTAGATTTCCATTAAGAATATGTATGGAACTTAGGTTCCTGTGCTGCATCCTTCAAATAAATTCCCTAGTGAATTATGAAGATACATTTTTATTCAGAATAATCAAGAACTAAATGTATAATGAAGTTTAAAAATACCTAGAGAGGTGGTATCACTTTGTAAAATTTGTTAAGTATCTGAGAAAGGCCAGTGATCCAGGTACATTTAACTAATTTCTAGCTACATTCTGTAAGCAAAAGAAATAAACAGTATTTTCCTAGGAATTATATCTCTGCTATCCTAGTTTGAAAGTATGGAGGATGGTGTTGGAACATATGACTTTCCCTTCAGAAGGTTAACGACCCAAAACTGACAAGATTTTTCATAATTCTTTCTGTTATGGCTATGATTGACCTGAACCCATAACAGAGCAAGCTATCTGGTAGTTAGGAAAAGCTACATAAATGATGTCATCAAACATAATTTGCAAGTCTGCAGATATGCCACCAAAGAATTGGGTAGTAAAAGCTTCCCAAAACTGCCAAGAAAATTTTCATAAGGTCAACCTGAGTACTGAGTGGTGGTACTCCACTGCTACATTAATTTTTTTTCCTAAAAGAAAAAACAGCTCAAACATCACTCCATGGGTCAGTTGGATCAGCAGTGTCTTGTTTCAACAAAAAAACCAATGGAATGAATTCAGAATAAAGGTACCACCTGTATAGATACCATCTTGGCAAAGAGCATAACAGATTTGCATTTTTACTCCTTATATTTTAGCAAAACATTTTATAAAATAATTTCTTTTTTTTTTAAAGAGAGAGTKAGAGAGGAGAGAGAGAGAGAGAGAATTTTTAATATTTATTTTTCAGTTCTCGGCGGACACAACATCTTTGTTGGTATGTGGTGCTGAGGATCGAACCCGGGTCGCACGCATACCAGGCGAGCGCGCTACCGCTTGAGCCACATCCCCAGCCCCTATAAAATAATTTCAAAGCTTACCTTGAGTGAAAAAATTTTCTGTATCATGGTCAGTAATTGCTAGTGTTAAAAAAAAAAGAATGAGACTAAGATCAACAAAATACAAGATAAAAATAATTTCCATCTTAATTTCTTAAAGTGTATACACAGACAAAAAAATCAGAACCACTGGGAGTATTTGCTGAAATCCTGATTCCTAGGCTCCATCCTCATCAGCTGAAAGAATTTCTGAGTCATGGGCCCTAGAAATCTGTTTTTACAACTTTCCTGAATTTATTAAGCACACTAACGTTTGTGCTAAAATGTTTTATCAAATACTTCATATTTCCTTGCTCTCAAGTCTCTCATTTTAGCTGGCAAATCAGAACATAACTAAGTCATTGGAATATAATATAACAAATGTTGTAGTAGAAGTTCATTTATTCAAATATTCTTATAAGGACATATTGGTATATACATATATTGCTCTGCTGATACTATTCTAAGTGCTGCAGATTAAACAGTGAACAAATTACAGGGGTCTGCTCACATGTTATTTACATACAGAAATTAATCAAATAATTATTCAAATGAATTCAAAAACCAAAGGAAAAGGAGAAAACAGAGATTAACTAATGTTACCAAATAAACGCAAAAGTTGTCATGGAGGAGGAAATGACATTTGAGTTGGAGGAAATAACATTTGTACAGTATTTTGAAAACCTAGAAGGGATTTGTCAAGCAAATAAGTGAGAGARGATACTCCACATGGAAGGCATAGTGGGCATAATTGCATGAAGGTGTAGGATGTTTGTGGTGTAATAAAGTCAGCAGAGTTATTACATGTGTTGCATGCAGGGGGATGGTGGGAGAGCTGGGAAAGAAAACTATATTGGTATCATATAGTGAAGGTCCCTACATAAACTACAGTATTGTTTCCCCTACATGTCCAGTGGTCATCTCAAACTTAATGTGACCAAATTTTATCCAAAATTTGCTTCTTTAGTAAATGACACCACTTCCAATGGCAGCTAGAAAATATCTCAAATTCTCACTTTCTCATCATACTCACATTTTATTGGTCTCCATGTTCTGCACCTTCTAATAACTGCCATTTGAATTATCCTGAGTCTCCTTATCACCTCTCCTTTTAAAAAATTTTTAGTGGTATTGGAGATTGAACCTAGGGGCACTCAGAGGCACTGAAATACATCCCAAGTTTTTATTTTTTATTTTGAGACAGGGATAAGTTGCCCAGGTTGACYAACTTGTGATTCTCCTGCCTTAGCCTTCTGAGTAGCTTTCCTATCTTTTTGGTACTACTTTCGTTCATGCTTTYATCATTTGATACTAGTAATAATAACCTTCAAACTGAAATTCTCCACTACCACTTTTGTGCTTTTTCAATTTATCCACCTGTCCAGACTGACCATTTCTAAAAATGTATGTCAGATCAAATCCTCCCATACTTTCAAAGTTCTAAAACTGAATTTTCATGTTCTCCAAAACCAAGTTATGCAGTTATTTCCATCTAGAAGTGTTACGGGGTTTAGGTATCATGTTTGCTTTGAAAGCTTCAGTGGAGCCACATCATCCTTTTTGGAAGCAGGAAATAAATAAAGCTGTGTATTCTTCATTATTTGAATAACAGTGACTTGAGTTTTAACCCTGACTGCCACATGCTAAACATATGACCCTGAGCAATTATACATCCTTTCTAAGTGGGGATAATATAAGTGTCTATGGGATATGGAATGTTGTGTGGATTAAATTAAGGAAATGCTATTTAATATTTCAAAGCCAAATTCCATCCATTCTTCTTGATGAATCACTTGCTGAGAGATACCAAGAACTCTAGTCTCATTGTTTCCTGAATTTTGGCAGCAGTCACTGTTGTTTGGTCATTGGGTGCTTGGTCATATGTTCTCTTGATTATCAAGTCTGCTATTTTGACTGCTATCTTGCATTGGGATGTCTTTTGCTTCAACTGTATTATGGGGTCTTGGGGGATGGAAATAACCATTGTATCCTCACGTTATGTAACATAATGCTAAACAATGAACAAACATTGGGAAGTGCTTTTGAAAGAATTTCTTCATGTGTCAGAACRGAAGTAATATTCAGTTGCTTAAGTAACCGTGGTGCTTGGGCATCAGTAGGCAGAATACAGACCATGGAGTTGGAGCTGTGCCTTTGAATTCTTTCCTATGTGGTTAACTCTTTAGTTGCAGGCAGAAGAGAAGAGAGTCCATAGTGGGGAATGGAGACATTTGGAGAACTTGGGGAAAAATCACTGTCTAATTGTTTACTAACAAACAGGAAAGCATTCTAATACTTTAACAACTAGTACTGCTGTAGCAGGTGCATACTAGCCCAGTGTGAGATCCATGAAAATCCTTTTAATTTTGAGTTCCTTATGAGGAAATCATGGCTACTTAAGCTAGTAGTAAAAGGCAAAGTTGGTGGGTTATCCTTTATTAAGTAATTCATTTCTTTCAGTCATTCAACAATTGCTTATTGAATAACTAACTATTCTATACTAGATACTGGGTGGTAGAAGAATAGAAAAAGTGAACAAAGCAGAACAGTTCTTGCCTTTAGGAAACTTAAGGAATAGAATGGATCCAAACAAAAATCATACAAATGGTTACATAAATTAATATATCCATTGTGAAAGACAGCCTAGAGGTGGCTCAGAATCTTAGAAATAGAACTACCTACTGTGTGATTCAGCTATCCCACTACTGGGTATATATCCAAAGAAAATGAAATCAGTTGTTAAAGTGACATCTGTAAATCATGTTTACTGAAGCACTGTTCACTATAGCAAAGATGTGGAATCAATGTAGGTATATATCAACAGATGAATGTGAAAAAGTGTGGTATATAAACACAGTAGAATATTATTCACCCATAAAAATGAAATTCTGTCATTTGTAGCAGTATGGACAGAACCAAAGGATGTTATTTTAAGTGAAATTAAGTCAGGCACAGAAAGATACTGCATATTCTCACTTATTTGTGGAAGTTCAAAAGTTGACTTCAAAAGAATAATGATTACCAGGTCCTAGAAAGGATGTTGGGGAGAGAGAGAGAGAGAGAGAGAGAGAGAGAGAGAGAGAGAGAGAGAGAGAGAGAGAGAGAGAGAGAGAGAGAGAGAGAGAGAGAGAAATGATAGACAATGAGTTCAGGGATGGAGCTGGATAACAGAAATAATTTCTAAAGTTCTATAGCATTGTAGGACAACTATGTTGACAATTGAATATTTCAAAATAGCTAATAGGATTTTAAATGTCCCTAATACAAAGAAATATCATGTCTGAGGTGATAGATATGCCAGTTACCCTGATATAATCATTGTACATTGTATGCATATACTAAAATGCCAATGTACCTCGTACGTATGTGTAATTACTGTGTGTCAATTAAAAATAAAAATGCATTTTTTTAAAAAAATCAGGGATTGAACTCAGAGGCACTTGACCACTGAGCCACATCCTCAGCCCTCAAAAATATTTTGTATTTTATTTAGAGACAGGGTCTCACAGAGTTGCTTAGTGCCTTTGGCTTTGAACTTGTGATCCTCCTGCCTCAGTCTCCGAAGCCACAGGGATTAACAATGCATTTTTTAAAAAGAAGAATTATCACAATTTCCTTATGTAGCCCTGAAACTTCAAGACAGGCTTCCATTTTACAAAGTAGAAAACTGAAACTGAAAATCTTAGATTCTTAACTTTAAAATTAGTTGCTGTTCAAACATTGCCTTAAAGGATCAACCTAAGTAATTTCAACAAGATAGTGAATTTATATAATACCAAGTTTGCTTTCTTACCTCATTTTATTATATATAAGTCTCAAACAGAATGGAAAAAGGCATGTTGGAACAAATTAAAATATACTGCCCTCATGTGAACACTAGAAAAGAGATCTCCCATGTTGAAATTATTCCATTTAAAAAGAAAATAGTATGTTTTAAGATAAAAAATCATTGAAAAGTAAAAAAAAATAGAATGTTTATATTAGAGAGGTATATACTATATATTTAGCTTTTAATATATTGTTTTTATAAAGTTAATAATTTTAAAGAAAAGCCAGCCTCTGCTTTAATTAGAGATTTAAATTTGAATTAGTAAACTTCAGAGATATATTGAAATAAAATGGTAAACAAAAAAATGGTACTTGCATGTTATCCCAGTTGAAGGATTTATTTCCAAGTTTCCAGAGTTATTCTGCATTTGTTGTAAAATAGCCTGAACTCTGCCTTTCATTGATCCTCCATTGTTACCTCTAGTGCATCGAAATTTCATGACAACATCTGCTATCACACCACCACTACCATTTGGCCTGTAAACCATAAAGATATTTTTAAATGGATAATTATTATATTTATACTGCTTATATATTCTTCTCGATTGAGCTTTTTTAAAGAATTCACTTGAGGAATTTGCCTTTAGAACAGTTACATAATGGTATTTGAATAAGTAATAATAGATCAAAATTCTGTTCCCCAAAATTCAATTTCAATGCACAGTACACTATACTCACCACACAGTATAGCAGGCTTTGAAGTTGGAATGTCATAGCCTTTTACTGTGTGATTTTTGCTAAGTTACTTAAGTTTCTTAAGCTTTCTGTATCTATGACTTCTCATACATAAAACAGTTATGCACAAAGTTTGCGGAAAAGTACATAATGTATCCTAAGTGCACTGTAATGTTAGCTATTATTAGACTTTAGCAATCTGAAAAAAACCCTCATCTCCTTAAGCAAATATCTGCTTAAACAAACTTACAAACAGGAGATTTCAAGATTATGTGACAGAGAAGTTGAATTTAACTTTTTTGGAATTTAGACCTATTCATCTGATTATAGCATCAAATTTTAACTTTTATAGTCACATGTTAAGATTTTATAGCCCATTTCAATTAGCCACAGATACTTCATTCCTAGAAATGAAACTTGATATCTTTGTTAAAGGTTCTGATTATCTAAAACCTAGATAAATTGCACATTATGTTAGTTACCATATTAATTACCACATAAACTATTACCTCCACTTGACTTTGTCGAAATTTCTACCTCAAACAAGAGTGTATGGGAGACACTATTGCTCCATAGCCTCACTAATATTTGATATAATCAGGCTATAATTTAATTCTTACAGTTAAATGAGTTAAAATGATATTCTTTAGTTTTACTTTTATAGTAGTAAATCACATAGGTTCTAGAATCAAAACTGGCTAAATTCAAATCCCAATGCTAATTTCCATTAGCTCTGGAATCACTAGCAAGTTACTTAATTTCTTCATGCCTCAGTTTCCTCTGATAATCAAAGTGCTTCTTTGGTAGAGTCATAATGAAGATCAAATAAATTAATTGATACAAAGCAGTCTTTTTTGAATATTTATTTATAAATTTCATCATTCATTAAAATCCCTCATCCTTGAGTCACAAATTCATATTTTTTTCTATTTAATTATTAATATAGATACCAATAATTTGTCCACTTCCTTGGTTGCAGACATATTCTCCTTGTATATAATGTATCTTTACACTTTCTTCTCTTTTCTTCTCCCTCTCTGTCTTCCTCTCCCTGTGTCTCTCTCTCGTTTTTTTTTTTTTTTTTTTTTTTTTTTGGTACCAAGGATTGAACCCGGGGATGCTTAACAACTGAGTCACATTCCTAGCACTTTTTGTATTTTATTTAGAGACAGGGTCTCACTGAGTTTTTGTTTAGGGCTTCACTAAGTTGCTGAGGTTGACTTTGAACTTGAAATCCTCTTACCTCAACCTCCCCAGCTGTTGGATGTGTGCCACCTTACCTGGCTACACTTTCTTTTTAGTATCCTTTGTTAGGGAAAATCAATTCTAAAATGTCTTATTTTAAAAATTMTTTTATTCTCCCATATTTTCTTGTTAAAATTTTAAGTTTTTGATGTTAATATTCAGGTTTTAAGCTTATGTATGTATGAGCTAGAGATTTTATTTTTTTCATATGAACMATTGTCTTTCAGGTTTGTGTCTGCACTTCTGTGATACATAGGTCTGTGAGTCTGGATGATTCATTCTGTTCCTTCCTATTAAACTTAATAATTATGTTCATAAAATCCATTGCTATGAATTTGTTTGCTTCTCCTTGCTTAATATATTTTGAGGACATATTATTAGGTGTCTATATGCTTAGAAGAATTTTATCTTCCTTATGAACTATTTCTTTTGTCTAAACATTTTACTTTATCCCTAGTTAATTTTTTTTCATTTTAAAATTTCAAGTCTGATATTAGTATGGCTACATTGGCTTTCTTGTGGTTATTATTTGCTTAATATAAATGTAAGTCTGTTGAATGTTCTAGTATATATCACTTAATATTCACATTTTAAAATTTTGGGATATTAATGATTTTCTTCATCTTCATGTGAGCTTAACTTGCATTTGAAATGAAAATTGTAATACTTTATCTAACATTTCCAGTTATTGTATATGGAAAGGGCTTTTTAAAAAAATATTTACTTTCTGTTGCTAGACAAGAAAGTTGTAATTATATGTTCAATGTCACTGCTTCATCCAAACTTAAATATTAATGAGAATGACAACTCTGAACCCCAGTCACAGCTAATATTGAAAGAGAACAGAAACTTGTAATAGAAATAAGCACAAGAAGGTGTTTATTTAATATTTGAGTGTAAATATTAAATTAGTTCCTGGAGTTAATAGTAATTTGGAATTGGCAATTAAGATGGGATGGGGAAACCAAGAGGCATATGAAAGCATCAAACCAACTTTGCCTAAAGCACTTTGAGGAATACTTTATCAACTAATTAAGTTGAAGATATTCCAAACTAAAGATCCAAAAATTACACTTTTAGGTATATATTCTTGATGAACCTTCTCATATRTGCATGTGTAAAGAATGCTTATTGTAGGGTTGCTTAGAATGTCCAAAGATTAAAAAAGTTAATACACATTGAATGTTGAGTGAATAAATAAACTGTGGATGTTCACTCAATAACATAATAAAATAAATGAATGTACAACAGTAAAAATGAATCAATTAGGTTTAGCTGTATTAACCTTGATTCACATAAAAAGAAATTTGAGAAAATTTATAGAAAATAATGTATAATCCTATTTATATAAAGTTGAAAAACATTCAAAACAACTCTATGTTAGCTATAAATATATTCAAATACAATAAAAATATAGGAGCATGCATGAGAGAACCATTATGGGATCTTCTTTCACAGTCAACGTCCAGCCCTATTAACCCTACTTTAAAGATTTATCTGAATCTCATTATCATTGCTTTTTTTCTACCATTGCTATCATCCTAATCGAGGTGACCAAAATCTCTATTTTACATTATTGAAATTTCTCTATGAATTCTCCTGCTTTGAGTCATGCCTCCTCAATTAATGCTACATGCAGCAGTGTAAAGATCATTTAACATCAGTGTTGCTAAAATTAATTGGTTTCCTATCTCATTCAGAGTAAGACCTAAAGTCCTTTATTATGTTCCACAAGACCTGTATGACCTTGTGTTTGGGGAGGTCTCTGATGGTGCTCATCTCCTACACCTTTCTCCTATTTATTCCATAATAGCTACAATCCTTTCTGTTTGTTGATGACCTCATACACGTTCTCACATCAAGTACTTGCTGGTTTCTTTGCCTGGAATGCTTTTTTTCCCCTTATATTTGCAATGCTTATTTTTGTCAGAGAAGACTTTCCTGTTCATCTCCTATTAAAAACAAACATATAAAAACAAAACAAACAACAACAACAAAAAACAACCTTCCGGTTTATCTCTAATCCTCATCTCCTTATCCTTTATTTTTCTTCATGATGAATATCGCATCTGGGCTGTATGTGTGTGTGTGTGTGTGTGTGTGTGTGTGTGTGTTTACTTTGTACCAGGGATTGAACCAGGGCACTTAACCACTGAGCCACATCCTCAGCCCTTATTTTTAAATTTTTAACTTTTGGAGAGAATCTCATTAAGTTGCTTAAGGCGTTGCTAAGTTTTTGAGGCTGGCTTTGAACCTGCCATCCTAGTACTTTAGCCTCCTGAGCTGCTGGAATTACAGGCGTGCACCATCTTTCCCTGCTCAGTCTGGCCAATCTTAAACCTGATTATCCTACCTCACCGTTCCTTCATTCAGAAACCTTAGCAGAGGCTTTTGCTTACTATTGCTCCTCTCTCCTCTGCCTCCTGACTGACCTCTGCTTCCTATGTGCCCTCCCACCCTCAATCAAGTATGGCATGTCCATTCCTCTTGGAAACTGTGAATAACAAATTTTTCAATGGTAATTGTCTCCTGAGTTTTTGGTATTATTTTATTCCAAATTTTCTATCAACATACTGTATTTTAAAGCAGAAGATAAAGTGGTGTGTATGTGAAGGGGAATATGTRTGCATTAAAGTTTCAGGTACAGGAAGACAGATTTTACAAAGATCTAGAGGTTAGCAAAAGTGAAGAACTGAAAGAAGTTTAGTGGGGCCAGTGAATAAAGAACAAGGAGAGTAATGAAAGACATCCCTGGATATGGAGATGAGAAAAGAAGTCAGATAAAGGAAGGTTTAATAAACTTCTTGAAATGTATGTATATAACATATGTGTGTGTTTATCTCACATATATGTGTGTTTGTATATCTCACATATATGTATGTATCAGGATGCATATATATTACATATACTATAAATTGATATGTCCATACATATGAAGAATACATATATCTTTAATATAGATATATAATGTGTGTATATATAGTTATATTTATATGTATAAAATCTCATATATAATATGGGTGAAGCGTTGCCATTAGGAGGGCTTTAACTCTGGGTATAGGATGTTTGAATTTTTGTTTTAAAAAATCTTTCTCTCTGTTACATGGAGTGTGGAGTGGAGTAAGACTGTAGGGTTGGAGGTACCTCATACTCCAGGAGAAAAATGGATGATAGAAGTGTATTTGAAGAAGAGTTACAGATCTGGGAGATAGTCAGGAAATAGAACTTTTAAGGATTAAATGATGAGATGTGTGGGTTTAAGAGAGAGGTAGGAATTAAAGATGAGTCCTTGATTTCTTTCTTGAGCAACTAGGTTGATGGTGATGTCATCGATGGAGATAGGCAATGTTAGAAGAATAGCATATCTGAGGAGTGATGATAGGTTCATGTTTGGATACATTAAAGTTGAGTTGTCTGTAAGATATTCATGTTATAGTATCAAGAGATGACTCTGTGTGTCTAGAGATGAAAGAGGACTGGCCCAGAGATAGAACTTTGAGGCAAATAAACATAGTTGGTGATAAAGCCATTGAAAAGAGAGAATGTGAACTGAGAAGATGCATGGCTCACAGTATAGCCTGCTGTTCAATAATATTTGAGGAATGTACAGAGAAAGGACAAGAGGTGGCAAAGGAAATTGAGGAGCAGCTAGAGAAGTAAGAGGAGAATTGAGGCTGTGTAGGGTCATAGGAACCAAGGGATGGCATTATGGCTAGGCAGCAGTGCCAAATACTGTTGAGAGGTGCAAGAGGAGTGCTAATATGGTTTATTTGTATTTTGTACTTTGGCTGTCTTTGTTGAACTTAGCAAGAGCAGTGTGTATTCTGTGGTGTCATCAAGAACAAAATTGCAGTAGATTGAATAGTAAGTGTGAAATTAACAAAGGAAAGGAAATTCACATGGTTGATTTAGTCATATAAGTTTTGAGGGCTTAAACAGTTGAGCATTAATAACTGGTACAGATGCTTTTACAACAATGTACTAATATGCAGTGAAATGATTATGCTTTTGGAAAATACCCTTCCCACAGACTTTCAACTACCAGGAGTTAAAGTAGTAGGAACAGTCTGTGGGAAGGGTATTTTCCAAAATACCTAGAGCTATGTGCTTAATTTTTATAAATGAGTTCTTGAGAAGAACAGTATAATTTCTCTGCCTATCAAAGAAGTTTTGTATATTATTTGAAGGACTGAGTAATGTGTACATTTAAGATGTTTTGGGTAGGGTCAGTCAATCAGGGTGACTATATTAGTTGGAGGAGAGGATCAACCTAATAATATCACCTGGACATGTACATATTTAACTAAGACAGGAACTGTAAAAACCTAGCACACATACTCCTGYTCGTATTAGTCCATGACAGAAATGTCATGGATTTGGCTGCAACATCCTTTTATTACAGCATTCCAGCCAGATGAAATTAAAAAGCCACTTCTGATGTTGGTTATCATATCCTGATATTGGATTAATATACCCAGAACTGAAGCAGTATGTACCTCCAGGAGACATATTTTACGTAGACTGCATTGTAAATGCCATCTGGATTCAGATGACTCTATTATAGTACCTTTATTCCAAGTTTCCCTGCATCTTTTCTTCCTTCTCCATTAAGAACTGAAGTCATTTGGTACTCATATTAGTAGTCAAATAAGCCATATAAGATATTTTTGAAATTTTTAAAAGTTGCCCAGGATTCTATTTTCATATTGTTTCAGTAAACTTCATGAGCATGCCATTTATTATCTGTGGTATGAACAAAAGTCAAATGTGACAAATTTCATTTATGCTTATATAGTTTTTCTTATAGTTTCACTCACCTCAGTTTGACAACATGAGCTCTCATGAACTGATTTCTTAAATTTGACTCTCGCAATGTTTTAGCAATCTGTAGAAATACAAGGAAAAAAATACTTTCTATAATTACATTTCTTTCTTTCTTTTCTCCCAACCTTCAATGTAGGACTTAAGTTAATGAGGAATAGAGGCCTAAATTTTCAATTGAGTTTACTTCAGTTTAATCATAAAAGCATGGGATTGATTCAGGCAGGCTCTATAACCTTTTAATGTATTGTGCTTTTCTTCCTCTATTAAGCAGAGATAATAGTGACAGCATGTGTCTTTACTAGACCTCATCCAAATTGCATCAGATATTTTACTTTATGAGAACTTGTTTTGTGACTTGGCAAATGTTTCTTTTTTTGAATTTTTTAATTTTTTTATTTGTTTTAATTAGTTACATRTGACAGTAGAATGCACTTATATACTTTGATATATTATACATAGATGGAATATAATTTCTCATTTTTCTGAGTATATACATATTGTAGAATCACATTGGTCATATAGTCACATACATGCATAAAGTAATAATATCTGTTTCATTCTACTATCTTTCTTATCCCCACATTCCCTGCCTTCCCYTCCTTCACTTCCCTTTACCTAATCTATGGTAATGCTATTCTTTTTTTTTTTTGCATTACAATTCTTAATACACATATATACCTCAATTTTTGTATCTTTGTATATAAAGTATGTTGACACCCAATTCAAGTCTTCATACATGTACTTTGTATAATGATGTCTATCACATTCCACCATCCTTGCTAATCCCATGTTCCCTCTCTTTCCCTCCCACCCCTCTTCCCTATCTAGAATTCATCTATTCCTCCCAATCCCACTATGGGTCAACCTCCTTATATCAGAGAAAACATTTGGTATTTGTTTTTTTGGGGTTTGGCTGACTTCACTTAGCATTATCTTCTCTAAGGGACTTGGCAGATGTTTCTAAGGGTAGTGGTGTAACAGCCAAATTAACACTAGAGAAGTTCACTCGTACAAGTTACCATGTGTGATACCCAACAGCTATTTCTAAAATGGATAAAACTAGATTAAAGCAGATTAAATGAGTAGCAATGGAAAGCCTGAAGAGAATGGGAAAAGAAGAAAAGGACAGTCTTTTCCTTGTCATTTCTGATTTATGACTAAGCTCAACAGGTTATTTTTAGCATTATTTGGTAATTTTTTTACCTAATCATAACTATTTCCCTGAGTCATTGCTCAGTCCTAGAAATGATGAGCTGTCTTGGAATATAAAATTTAGCCTTACAGTCAAGGAAGAGTGATACTATAACTGATATAGTTCTACYGTGTTGCAGGATCAGCTGTAGTTTTATAATGGAGAGTGGATTACTTAAGCTTGCATTGTGAGTAGTACCCTGATGGAAATGGACATGAAAATGTAAAGATGGGAGAATTAAGTAGTATGCTGAATATTACATTTAGCCAGGATTTGAAGCCACCTCTTCAAAAGTTTATGCAACTTCTATTATATCACAATGTATCTTACTTTGAATCCATTCCTATCAGTGGATTGATATCAGACCAATCAGTTGTTTAAAAAGATAATTTTTTTCTCAAAGAGACCTTGAATATTCTTTAGAACAATGAAATGATTGACTTTATTAAAATAATTCAAGTTCCTTTTTTAAAATTCAAGTAATACTAGCAAGCAGTAAGAAAAAAAAATCACTCCAAACTCTATCACCTAGAATTAACTATTGATGTCATTCTTTGCTCTATATTCCAGTTATCTAAATAGAAGGATGTATTTTAATATTTTTAGTAATGTGGTATATTACACATGGTACTTTATTAAAAGGATTTAAATTTAATTTTACTTGACTTTAATGAATATAAAAAACTGAAATAAAGCTGAAGCAATAGCTAAAATTTAAACAAATATTTCTTATTGTTATATTTTAATTCATAATTGGACATTGCACAGGCAAGTTTCTACTGGATTAAAGTGTAAAAGATCCACTTTAATTTTGACATGTTCATTGTATGGAAAACATTATAAGACATTTAGAGATGCTTAAGATAATAAACATTAAAAATCCATTAGTTGGTTGACATGAATGTCCAAACAAAGGAAGAGATGAGATTACATATTTCACAGAGTGGATGAAAATTTTGTTATTGACTTTATCTTTGGAACTTATTAAATGATTGCTAGAAAATCAATGAGTTGATACTTGAAAAGTATACCAGTGGAATAGTAGAAAGGGCAATAGATGAAAACAGTTTGATTTAGCTTGCTAAAGAACTTTAATGAAATGAGTAACTATTTTTTTCCTTTCAGTTTCTCCATCTGTAAAAGGAATGTAGTCAAAAGTAAAAATGATTTATGTATGTACAGTTGGACTGTTGCAACTCACAGAGACTATTGTATCTACTTTTAGTAAGCTTGACATTCAATCTTTGTACATTTTCCTTCCTTCCAAATGTATTAATCTATTCAAATGAATTACTTTCCACACTCATTTGATTTTGTAACCTATATTGTTGACCTTTTTTATTACATTGGGCAAAAAACAAATAAACAATGAAAAAAGGAAGACCTGTTTTATATTTTCTTCCTGATTGAGGGTGATAATACTATTCTTGTATTCTAAGGTAGTCTAGAATCCTCAACCTCAGTAATATTCTTAGTCAATAAGGATTAGTTAGTTATGGATTAAGTAAATTCTAACAAAGTGAATATCATTAAATTTGTTAGCAGAGCAGGTCATATAAAGGGGGAAAACTACGCACAGATTTTTGGCACGTTTTTCATCTTCAGAGAGAAAAAAAAAACTTATTAGCTGCCTGTAAATGTGTCAGATAAATCACCCTCTTCCAAGCTTTGTTACTTGATACTTATAGTTTTTCGTGTTGCTTACAAACTGAATAATAGTAATAATGTTTTTGCGATCTTATTTACTTTCCACTTCTTTATTTTAAACTTTAATCAGAAGATCTAGAAATCTTGTTTTCAAGGAAAAGATGGAAGATATATTGTTATATGGTTATATGATCTATTACTCTACTAGTTTCAGTTTGTGTGTGTGTGTGTGTGTGCCAGGGATTGAACTCAAGGTCACTTAATCACTGAGCCATATTCCCATCCATTTTTATTTTTATTTTTTTATTTTGAGATAGGGTCTCACTAGGTTGCTTATAGCCTCATTAAGTTGCTGACGATGGCTTTGAACCTGCCATCCTCCTGCCTCATCCTCTTGGTTAGCTTTATCATTGCTGTAACCAAAACACCTGACAAGAACAACTTAGAGGAAGAAAATTTATTTGGGGTTCATGGTTACAGAGGATTCAGCCCATAGATGGCTGACTCCATTTCTATGGGGCAAGAAGAGACAGCACATCACAGTGGAAAGGACCTAACTGAGGAAAGATACTTATCTCATGGTGAGGTCAGGAAGTAGAGAGAGCAGGGGGATGGGGCTGCAGGAAAGTTGCACCCTTCCAGGGCACACTTCCATCAATCCATCTCCTCCAGCCATGTCCATCTGACTACCCACCTGACTATAGTTGTGGACTGATTAACTTACAGCTCTTATAATCTAGTCATTTTACCTCTGAATATTCCTGTGTTCAAAGGAGATTCAGAAGGACACCTCATGTTCAAAACATAATATTTTAATCATGCACTCCTATGGGTAAAACATTTTATCCATGAATTGCCAAAGCATTTGTACAGTATAAATTTTTAAATTATATACATGCAATAATAATGTATTATGAACAATGTACTTTATAAAACATAAAGTTAGAAATAATAGAGGGTAACTTATAAAAAATAGGTATTTAATTCCACTTTTAAAGATAATATTTTTATGGTTATGATATTACTGGACAGGGTTTATAAAAATGATTCGAAGATCTGATTAGAGTTTACATTTAATTTTTGATTTTAAGTGCTGAAAACATTTCCACATAGTTAATGTGGTCCAAATGTATGACATTTATGACTGCCAGAACTTAATAAACCATGACCCTAAGTTGTCATTCTCACCCATCATACAATGGTTGTTGAAATTAAGCATCAGGCTTTCCATTTTCTCTATTACTAATTAGTCATTCTTGCAAATCAAATGTAATATGTTATATTTTATATATTTTTTAAGAAATATATTCAAAATCCTTGAAACATGATATTTTAATTATTTCTCAATTTTAAGTGTGCTTGAGACTTTTTATAGATAGCATACTTCACATAATTCCAGCACAGCAAAAGAATACCCTGTCACCTAATGATGGGTACAATGCTAGGCACGTTTTCAAAGGTTTTTCTTCATGGTGATGGGTGGGTTTTTTGGAATGATTGAAATGTTTTAAGGATGAATCCTAGGTTTCAGGTTGAGATAACAGAATAAAAAGCATTATAATTAATTGTAAAAGGGATTGTTGGAAAAGTTTAGGATGGAGTGGAATCATTATAAATTTGATTTGGGGCAAAATATATTTGAGGTGTTTTGAAATAACCATGGAAAGAGAGCAACCTAGAAATTTGGTGCAAAGCTCTGAAGAGCAGATAAAAGTCTAGGCTGTAGATAAAGTAAGTCATTTGTATATAAGTTTTAAAGTAATGGACGGGGATTAGATAATCTAAAGGTAGAATATAGTGTGAGAGGAGGGGAGAGTGTAAATCAAACCCTTGAGGAATTTTACCATTTAATGGTGGTTAAGAGGATGATGAACAAAAAAGTGTATAGAGAAGGAATGRTGAGAGAGGCAAGGTAAGAAAAATAGGTGAATGCGTGACATGCATATCTCTCATAAAAAAATCACAAAATCATAGACTTTTTCAATGGGAATATACAGTAAAAATCATCTAGTTCAACTATTTTATTTTACTAATGAATAAACAGAATAAGAAAGAGGGGCAAATTTCTCAATATAATAGAATAAAGACTACTATACAACTCATTGTTACCACATTATCTATGGGACAAGGATAATTGTGACACTCATGTTACCATTGGGAAATGGTATGACCTTTGGATTTCAAGAGAAATTTTGAAATATTAAATGTATTATCAAGTCACAGTACTCTAAATAATCTAGTACTAGGTCAGGCAAAAACTAATCAGTGGAAAAGAGTAGAGTACAGAAAAAAGAAAGGAAGAATTGAACATTTGATAAAGGTGACATTATGGATAAATTAGTTGCTCTATGCAACACATTGTTTTGGGACCATCATCTAGTTATTTGTGGGGGGAAAGTTGAATCTCTACCTTAAAAATTCCAATGAATCAAAGATAAATTTTAATAGCTGAAATAATAAGGTACAGAAAGAAAACATAAATGAATTCTTAGAAAATATTTAGGGTGAAGAAAGTCATTCTTGGCACAAAAGAGAAAAATTATAAAGAGGATCGATAATTTGGGTCATATGAAAATTCAATCTTCTACTTGGCATAATAAGCTCTACCTTATAAACAAGACTGAAAATTATAGAAATACGTGTAACATGAATGACAGACAAATTTTAATAGTCAAAAAGTTTTTTCTAATTCATATTAAAAACAAGGGCTCTATTAAAATTGGACAAGGTTATAATCAGTAATTYACAAACAAAATTATAAAAATAATTTATTAGTATATAGAAACAGATTAAATCTCTGGTAATCAAATAAATGCAAACTAAAATAATTATGAAATATCATTTCTCACTTGTTGAACTAACTATAATTAAAATAATTTATAACACCTGGTATTAATACTGTGGGGAAATAAGCATACTTGATAGTTATCTGCTGGTGGGGGTATAAACTTGGGAACTTCCAGAATCCAACACAGACATTAAAATAAACATTTTAATTACATACAGGAGGACAACAGATAAACAGAAAAATTTCAAATATTCTTCAGATATTCAAAGCATAACTCTTCTGTCCTCCACTCCTTACATGTGGGCTGCTTGCTAAAAAGAGTATAATATGGAAATGGGAGGAATAACTATACTGTGCAAACTTGACCAATACCACTTCAGCCAGTAATCAAGGTCGACAGTGCTAAATCAATTTAGTTATAATGAACGCCTTCAATATTAGGTAATGAAAATGACACTTTGTATCCATAGTCTCCCTACCCAAAACCCAGAATCCCACCGTATGAAAAAAAAATAGCAGAAAACCCAAATCGTGGGACTTTCTACCAAATACCTGACCAAAGTTCAAATTCAAACTTTTCAAAATCAGGGAAAATCTTGAGAAACTGTTATAGATGATATGTCACTCATGACTTAAGAAAATGTCATTAGAACCAGTATATTAGCAATTTAACTTGGAGAAAGCATAAACACGTCTTTCACCATTCAAGAGAGGAAAATATGCAGAGAATCAAGCAATTGAAATATACCTTAAAATGTTAGGTTTATTAATGATAATCGTACAATGGAATAAAGACAATATCCACATACCATAGATTCAATCTTTTCACTCAAACTCCTACATTCCTGTGTAGCTGGTGAACTTAACTGATCATTATATTCAACGTTTAGTATTTGAAAACTGCTATGGTAAAAGCAAGCTTTTTGATCTGAAAAAGAAAGAAAAAAAAGGATTAATCTCACATAAGTATTCAAGTAGTTGAATCTTCATTTTATTCAGGATTATGGGAAGTTATATTATACAATTAAAATTTGCTTTACTTGAAAGATAGAAAACTATATATTTAATATATATGTACCTACAGTAAAATTGTTTTCTTTCAATATTTATAAAGATTGGCAAAGCTAGAACTGTGAAAGCTATATTAATATCATAGTAGAATTATTATTTGAGACATTAAAAATTGTTCAGAGTGCTAGGCTGGGGTTGTGCCTCAGCAGTAGAGTGCTCACCAAGCACATGCAAGGGCCTGGGTTCAATCCTCAGCACCACATAAAAATAAATAAATAAAAATAGAAAGGAGGAATTGAGCATTTGATAAAGGTGACATTATAGATAAATTAGTTGCTATATTAAAAAAAAAACTTGTTCAGAGTGCTATAGTTTTCATTCTTACTATAACTTAGGGAGCTTTGTGGCTTATTCATTTAAGAAATATTAAATATTTTAATATACTATTCATTTATTTCTATGGAAGAATTCAAATAACTGAATAGTTTAAGAGTTATGTCAAGGATCTGAAGTTGTGTCTTAATGGTAGAATGCTCTCCTAGCACATATTGAAGCACTGGGTTTGATCTTTAGCACCACATAAACGTAAATAAAATAAAAAATGGTGCTGTGTCCATCTACAACTAAAAAAATTTTTTAAAAAATATTTCAAATAAAATTGCTTAAYGGAATTAGTGATTTGACTTAATTTTTTTTGAAAAAGCTAGAAAATAAATTTTCTGACAGCATATCTAATCTGGTAATCCACTCTGAGCTGTTTTCATCAAAAAGGATCTTCCAGAATATATATTTGGCTGTGTTAAGACCAAGATCCCTAAAACACACCTGTACACAACTCAGAAACATCATGAATATGGACATAACCCAAAATAACCTTTCTTAGAAAAAATTGATGCTTTATTTTTATCATTTATGTACATAACTTATGCAGAGAAGTGTTTGAGGAAAGAGTTGGAGATGCTATGGAGAGGGTGGTCTTTGTAACTGAGGGACAAGTCATTTTGACATTATAAGTGATTACTGGGACATTATTTAAACAGGATTCATTAAAGTAAGTACCTCCCGTTTGTGTTCCAATGTTATAAGAGAAKCTCATTAGGAGTGAAATTCAATTAATATAATTTGAAACTTGATGTCTTTTTCCTTCTTCTGTAATTATTGTTACTGATAGTTAACTCCAGGTGATTTGATAGCAAAATATAGTCAAAAGCAAAATTTAGCTATAGTCTTTATATTTGATCATGTAAAATTATACCATATTAATATTTTTCTCTAGTTTGGTAATTTTATTGCATCATTGTGAATTTTTCAGCCTTTGTAAAGCTAAGGACTTTGACCTGTTTACATTAGGATATATGATAAATTATGTTCTCTCTTTTTCTCTCCAGACACATGCCACTTGGTATATTCATGCACAGTATTTAAATGATTTATCATAATTATGTCTAAAATAAAAATAAATAACCACAAAGAAATACTTAAGTGAAAAAAGATTATGATGCTTGCTATTGCATAGTAAAACTTGACACACTTTATATGTGAAAGCTTCTGAAAGAATATTCATTAAGATTTTAAGGAAAGGTATTTGTGAATGAATAAACTATGTGTATTTTATTATTTTTCTAGTCCATGTTTTTTAATCTTATTAGTGATATAAAAATGTTAAAAAGAGAGAAACAAATGATAAAAGCACAGAATATTTTTTAAAGTTTGGCATTACCCCTTTCTACTTCTCAACTGCAAATTCATCTACTGGTCTTCATAACTGTTTTGCTTACAAAAATCTGATTTTAAGAGATGGAGTGTGAATTAATAAATTCTTAGGCATATACAAATTTTAGCTGGTGAAACTTAAGGTTCATTACAATATTTAAGTTTTATGATTTTATTAAGAGGTTAAATGAGGAAGGCAATCATGGTATTAACAAAAAAACAAAATGAACCAAATTTTAACATCAGAAAAGTATGATGACTTTCTTTTTTTCTTTGTCTAGAATGGTTCTTGCATGGGTAGCAATGTTTGATATACTAAAGATGTATTATTTTTGTATTTTAAAAGACCCAAAAGGAGAAGAGATAAAATGCTTATTGAGAGGAWATATAGATATGAAAGTAGAGAAGCATTCTAAGATCACTTTGTATTAAGAAATAAAGTAGTAAGAAGAGAGATCATATTTTTAATCTGAAAGTATATTTAATTATTTAGTCTGAAAAGTAATAGTCTCTGATACTTACTAAAAGCTAAAAAGTGAATAAGTAGACCTACGATCACTGCCAGGATCAGCACCACTGCCACCGTGATGAAACATACTATATATGGATTCAGGAATCTTGAATTTGATGGCGCCCATGCTGGTCTGAAGAGAAAGAGAAGAGGTCACTTGTTTCACTCAGAAAATCAATCATTTCCATGCTCATAATCTTCTGTCTTTCTCAGTCTCTTAGCTCCATTGATGGAAATATAGTCCTAGAAATGAACCTGAACTGAGCAAGGTTCTCTTTTAATGTTTTTTTTTTCTTTCAAGGGTTTGTTGTTATTGTTTTCCTGCAGAAAATTATTGACTAAGTAATTTGATGGAAACATAAGGAAATCTGAGCTGTGGTTTGGAGTTGCTTTCTGTTAGAAATTTCTAACAATTTCTAACAATTTCTAACAATTTCTCAAGATTGTCTTTTGCAGCAATGCTTTTCAAGAGAATGGACTAGATATTACTATAGCAACCCGCCTCACCTGGGTACAATCCCTAGGAACATACTAAAGAGAAATAATTTTGGAAGGCAAGAAGGGTGGAGAAAAGGAAAGAAGTAGGGGTTGAGGGAGTAAGAACAGAAGTAATCCTCATTGTGATAATCATATTATTAAAAATGATAATGTGGGCAGAAACAAGGGGCTGGGATCCAGGAGAGTAGCCAGCACCTGAAATAGATTAGAATTGCTCCAACACCAGAGGATTTATGTAATTTACTATTTCTCCCCATTAATTTGTCAACAGCAGTGTAGGTCAGTAGATTTGTAATAGTGTAGTAGTACAGTATTTCATATTCTATTAAGTATATCAATCAGGAAGACCTTTTTCACTGCCTCACTCCCTCCACTACACAGAGAGTTACACACACTCCCACARGGGAGGGCACAAGAGGAGTTGGCTGTGAATTTTGGTTCTCCTTGCCATTTATCTGAGACTGTGATTTTATTTTGTTTTATTTTATTTATTTTTTTAGATTCTAGGGATTGAACCCATGGCCTTGCTCTGGCAGGCAAGTGCTCTACTACTGAGCTACATTCCCAATACWTTTTTTGTATTTGGAGATAGGGTCTCAGAAAGTTGCTCAGACTGTCCTTGAATTTATGATCCTCCTGCCTCAGCCTTCCAAATAGCTGGGATTACAGGCATACACCACCATCTGGGTACAATCCCTAGGAACATACTAAAGTTTATCTAAGACATTTTATCTAAGAAATGGAAACAATACCTACCTCTGTTTTGAAGATTAAATGAGGTTATATTAAATAAACATTAAAAATTAAATATTTGTAGTTAAATAGGTTATTCACAAGGGTTTGAACACCTTGAAAGTAAAGATGGTTTTCATGCTGGTCTTTGTGACACATTTTAGGGTACATGGCATATATAGGTGTTTTATAAATGTTTATAATATTTATAAATAATAGTTGCAAGTATTAACTTCCAGGTCTGTTCCAGATTTGAAAACCTTCACAGAAGGGCTGAAGTTGTAGCTCAATTGTACAGTGCTTGCCTAACATGTGTGAGGCACTGGGTTCGATTCTTAGCACCACATGTGAGTAAATAAAATAAAGGTTTGTCAACAACTAAAAAAATATTTAAAAAAAATCTTCACAGAGTTGGAAAGCAGTTTCATTTAATCAGATTCTAGTCAGAATTCCATTTTTTTCTGTTTTGTTTCACTAAAAATCTGATGTAAGATCAATAATTCCCAGGGCTGGGGTTGTGGCTCTGTAGTAGAGTGCTTAGTAGAGCATGTGTGAGGCACTGAGTTCCATTCTCAGCTCCACATATAAACAAATAAATGAAATGAAGATCCATAAACAACTAAAAAAATGTTTAAAAAAACACACAACAATTTCCAGATATTAGGTTTTACAGGTTTCACTCCACATGGTGGAGTTTGGGCTCTAACCAATTCACAAACCAATGAGACCAGTAACTTTTCAGATTATTGGAAATTCACATAAATATACCCACTTTCAATTTTGTTAAATAAGTACATTTAATTTTTTTATACTTTTGCTATATTTTATTTTGGGAATTTTTGAACATCAAAAACAACTGAAAGATTTGAATACTAAACACCCTACAAGCATCATGTGGATTCTAAATTTACATATTACTAGGTTTTAATTAGCACATTTTAAGTCATAAAAACTGAACCTGTTCAAACATAATCATTTTATAAAAATACATTTAAATACATACAAAATAGGAAGGAAATAACCTAATAATAAAAAGAGATGAATAATACAGCTTTATAAACTTTTTTTACTATATTTATCTGTTTGTTTATTTTGCTATACTGGTGAAAACTTTCACTGATACTGATCACAAGAACAACATTTGGGAGAAAATCAGCACTTTGATATTTGCTAAATTTTTGAGCCTCAGTTTGGTTATCTGTCACTGCATGAGGTTGTGGTGCAGTTACATGTGATCACAAAAGCACAGTATATGAAATTAATGAATTCTGTAAATATTAGTTGCTRCTGAGTAGTGGCAGACAGAGTTGGAGGCAGGGGAAAATCCAAAGGGTTAAATGTCTCCAATTGATAATCCTCCTTGGAGCAATTAAGTATTGATTGTATTGCCAGAGATGAAATCTGAGTGAAAATTACTGAGGTACCGAAAAACAAGGATTAAAGTGGAGGCAAAAAAACAAAAAACAAAAACCCCAAATCCTAGAGTCAGCCTAGCTTGGATGAGCCTCCCATTGGAATGACTTTAGAGCAAATTTTTCTTTCGGTTCACTGAACACATCTTAAACTCAATGACTGAAAAGCACCGTGAGACATATGACTCAGTAAACAAAGGGTGGAGTCAAATTACCTTAATCTTACCAGCCATGATTACATACAAATCAATTKTTCCACCCTGTAGAAACAGCTGAAAAAGTATCTGCTGTCTTATTGGCAGTGTAACATATTGTCAAACCTCTGCATGTTGCTGATTATAAAGCTTATGTTGACACAAACTGAATTATGTACAATCTTTACTTGGTAAATTATTATAAAAAACATGTTTGTAAACATTGTTTGAATTTTGACTTATAATACAGTAGAAATCTGTGCAAGAAAAATATTTTGYTTTCAATGCATAGTTCTGATCAATGAGATTTTTAATGGTTGCATTAAAATAGAATACCAAATAATCAGTTGTAATATGTTATATATTTAACTAGCTTCCCCTCTTTGCTTTACTAACTTAAAGAAAATGACATGAATGTTGGAATATATCTTTCTACACTTTTTTTCATGAAAGCCTTTTGTCAGTCATTATACATGTATATTGCAAATTTCTATAATAGTTTTAAAGTCTCTATTAAGATTYCATTTTGACTATTGAAAAGTGAGGCGAAGGCAGCAAATAACTCATGATTTTTCAGGAGAAAAAAACAGAAATGAAAACCATAAAATTCCTTATATGCTATTACTCCTTGAGTTCCCACAAACTTCAGGGAACAGGAAAGAACTATTGTGATCTCACTTGAGAGAACTGAAGGCAATGAACATCTACTGAGGACTTTTTAAGTGTCCAGGACTTTGTCTTACACATACATGGTAAGTATGCCATAAAATAATTATTGATTTGATTTGATTTGAAATCACCCCAATATATTTATATAGGACTATTAGTTAAACTCTGCTGTGGCTATATAGTTATGCTTAATATTGAACTATGAATTAATAGTGTAATTTGACAATAAATTCCCATTACCTGAAAGAAAGGGAGAAGTGAGTCACAGGATTTATTGTAAATTCAGGTATACACGATATATATGGAAAGAACTTTTAGATAATTTTGTGTTCATTTAAGTGAGATTTCAGGTATGATAGTAACAAAGTTTCCCTTCTGCTATGCAGCTTCCTTCAATGATCCCAATCCATGTCATGGTTTTAGCAAGCACTCAGTAGGATATTTCCTGAGATATATCTTTAACCCTTGTCTCTCTGAGCTCCATACTATCATTTCCAGTTATTCACAGAATGTCTTATGGCTGTTTTACAACCACCTTAAATGAATAGTTTAAAATTGAATTTGTTATCTTTTTCCTTGGCCTTCATTCACCTCCCATTATTTCTAATGTTGGTGAATGTCACTAACATCTACCTGGTGTCCTATATGAGGGATCTAGAGACTAGCTGCACTTGCTTCCTTTATATCACTTCCCACTTTCAGCTTGTCACTAAACAAATAATTCTTATCCTATTGTCTAAATCTTTTTCTCTGTTATTTTTATATCTTAACTCTGAATGTGAAAACAATTATCTTACTCCTGATATTTGAAATCTCTGATAACTGCCTATAATGTTTTAGGCAATGCTGTGGGTCCTAAGGATACAGTGAACAGAAACAGACATACTAGCTATAATGATCTGACTGTGTCCTCTCAAAATACATATGTTGAAATCCGAACCTCCAAAATGATGATATTAGAAGGTGGGATTTGGTGGAGTCCATTAGATTATGAGGCCAGAACTATCATGAATAGGATTAATGTCCTTTAAAGAAAGATCCCAGAGAGATTTCTCATCCTAATACCATATGAGGTTACAGTAAGAAGATGGTCATCAATAACTAGAGAGTGTATTCTCACCAGACACTGAATTTACCAATATTTTGATCTTGGTCTTCCCAGACTGAGATATAAATTTCTGTTGTTTCTAAGTCACATAGACTATGCCATTCTATTACAGTAGCCTGGAAAGACTATGACCCATCTGTAATGATGGAAGTAGGGAAGACAGAAATGAATAAAATAAATAAGGAAAAAAGCATGGAGGTAGGTAAAGGAGCATATATGAGGTGATACAATGTTAGAATAGCCAGGAAAGACCTTGCTAAGAAGCTAATATTTGAGTAAAGACCAAAAAGAGATGAGTGAGTTAGCCATGGAGACACAGGAAGAAAAATGATTTGGCTAGAGGGAACACCAGCTTTAAGGTCTGAAGCAGAGTCTCTCTTGGCAAATTTGAGGAACAGTAAATGGGGCAGCTTGATAGAGTAGAATGAGTAGTTGAAAGACTAGTACAGGCAGATGAGATCARAAAGATAGGAGATAGAGTCAGAAGGGGGAGGATCACTTAGAGCTTTGAATTTAAGGACTTTGGTC